TCTGCCTTGTTCCATTCTTGTCCATTTTATCCACTACCACTATAATCTGTAATGTACATAATTAAGACTGCATTTTATACTTCATACTAATATTGCAATACAACTCTAGTTATAGTGATAGTCAACACTCTTAATTCTGTGAATAGAGAGATGATTAGGAAAAGGGATTTGTAAAACATTTTGACAAACTAGTAATGTTAAGAGTAAAAACAATTATTATGAAGAGTCCAAATATAATATATCTTCATTGTTTTGTTTACATACACATGGAGAGATACTTACTATGTCTACAGCAGTAGCCACTCTTAAATGAGTAGTTGGGCATGCATCATCCTTTTACAATATTCTCCTTGGTAACAACAATTGTCATTTCGACATCTGTGATGAAAGTCACATGGTTGGTCTCCGCCAGGAGGAGACCAGTAAGCTGAAATTAAGAATATTTGTAGAATGAATATTAACTTTTCTAAATCTTCAATTATTTTAAATAATTCGAACTGCAGATTGAAAATTTGACAGGATGCCTGGGCCCGGTGATGAATGCCTGGGCCCGTTTTTTTTTTTTAAAAAAGGTGGTTAACTCTAACCTGGTGTTAACCTATTGTTATGCGTTAAATTTGACCACATGGTTAAGTGTTTTTCAAAGGTTTGTTAGCATTTAACCATGTGTTAACAATGCGTTAACTTTGATCCACCCTTAGTATCTGTGTTAAAATTTAACACAGTGGTTAAAATGCTAACACAGTGATTCAAAATGACCGTATTTATTTATTCTTTAAATTAATGATTTATTCATGTTACACACACTGGTTAAAGCACCACATTCTTACTACTTTTCTTTTATCATTCTTTATTCTTTCATTTTTCGACCCAACTTGACCCCCAAGGTGAAAATGAAAATTCCGAAATCTTTCTGCACTTACGGACACCACCAACCATCTCCCAAAAGAAGACTAAGCTGTTGTGTAAAATGTAAGAGGAGTTCAAGGAACCAGAGGCTTTTTGCATAAAAAAGTCATTTTTCGACCCCCATCTGACCCCAGGGTGAAAATGAAAATTCCGAAACCTTACTGCACATGTACAGGACACCACCAACCATCTCCCAAAAGATGATTAGGCTACTGTGTAAAAGTTTGAGTATATGAGGAGTTTGAGGAAGAAGAAAAAGTGACAGACGGACGGACGGACATGAGTAAAAACAATATACCCGAACTTTCTTTAGAAAGTGCGGGTATAATTAAGACTGTATTTTATATATCAGTTAATATTGCAATACGACTCTTGTTATGTTATTGTTATTTATTTTTATATGTTATTGTTATATATACCTAAACAAAGCCTTTTTTCTTCCTCGGCGAAATTCCTGATTGAACGAATATGTTCTGCTGTAACAAAACTAAGATATATTTTCTTTGAATAATTTTGGAGCCTATTCAAATGATTTTTTTAAATAGAAGAAACAGAAAGGAAAAGAAAAGGAAATTCAAAGTGTATGTAAATAAAACAAGTCCCTACATTATGGAATCATCAGGAATGAATACGAGGGAATGCAGGCATGTATGCTGAATTCTGATTAGTTAATATTAGGGTTGCTTAAACTTTCTGAGGTTTTCAGTGAAATTCTTGAAATCACGTACAGCAGTATCTATTATATGCTCATTGATTGTTATTTCCCAAAATACATGTTCTTTGGAAAATAAGTTGTGAAAGTCTACAAAGATTTTGCCTAATTTAATGAACCTTATAGGGAATTAAGCACCAAAAGGGAGTAGGGAGAGCGTTTGGGAATATTTGTAACTGTCTCCGTTACAATACTACACAGGGAAAAGTGGCTCGCATGAACTTCATATAAAATTCGCACGAATATCATGCGAATTCTTCGCATGAGAAGGAGACGGAAAGTACCACGAATGATATTCGCACGAAAATATCATGCAATTTTCACATGAAATTCACACGAATATCATGCGAAAAGAAAATCGCATGAAATTCATGTGAAAAAAAGAACCCAGGTTTTATATGAATATCATGCGAAGACAAGCATATTTTTTGTACCACAGATATTAATATCAAGCTATTATCTATGAGTGCACCAAACCTAATCCATTAATTCTATCCTTCTTCCTTGGAAACAGAATTTTTGCTTCTTGCAAATGAAGTTTTCTTGAAAAATTCTCTTTTTCTTACTTAGTCAGTTAATCCAGACACAAGTAATGCATGATTATACAAAAAGTAACCTTGAATTTGTAAGAATCAAAACTTGTTTTCTGGACTCCCTGACTAAATAAAGACATCTGTGACATCAATTTCTACATTGAAAACTAAAACAATTGATCTTCTTCTATCTTCTTTATTGAGGTTCTCATCACATAAGATTTCTTTATCTTGAGGATTCTGTTGAGAGGGTGTTGTCGTTATAGCTGAAAATACAATAGTAAACAATCTCAGGTTATTGAAATTCATAATGGACAATATTTTTTTTAAAATAACTATGACTAAAACCCTAGGCCCTTAAGTAGGATTAATACCTCTTGGTCATAATCACCTGTATGCCAAGTATGTTCTCCACATACTACTCCAATAAAAAGTTGCATTTTCTGAGATACTTCTATCAAGTCTATGACCTTGACCTTGTCTTATGACCTCTGTCATGAAAATGGCATATCTTATGATCATTATCAACCATTAGGGCAGTATGATCTTTGGGAGTTACTTTTTTCAATATACAATTATGTTATGGCCAAGACTTTAAACTTCAATTCCTGTTACCTCTACATTGCTTAAATGACCAACAGGCAGGATTGTTTCACTGCCTCAAGTCATAATTATGCAACCTTAAAACATATCTAGTTCAAATTACCCTATGTTAGTCTTGGGATATATCTTTGAGTCACAGGTGAGTTTTGTCTCAGGTATGTCTACTGTGTTGTGAATGAAAATAATTTAATACATTTGTACCCTTTTGACCTTGAACATATCTAAAATGCCCTTGGTACTGGGTCAAGACTCATCTCTGGACACAAGCTACCTTTATATCAGTTATGAGCCTAAGATTGTTTCCTTGGTTACAAAGTCATGTTCAAATTAGAATTTAATTCTCTTATTCCTCTTTTTAAAAGTTTGACAAATCAGTCTGTAAATTCCTGTTATCAGTTAGTTCATATGTAATTACAAAGTGTAGGGAAAAAACAAGATGTGTTTGTGAAACACTGATGCCCCCGTATGGCAGCTTATGGTGAAGGTTAAACTTTCTCAAATGCAAGTCAAACTGCAAAGTCGAGAGATCAAAAATGCCCAAGCACAACCATTCAAAAGTTATGGTCAAGCTTAATGTTTTTTTAAAAGTGGGCCAAACTCCAAGGTCAAAGGGTCAAAATTAATGGTATTCAGGGGGAAGACCTTGTCATAAGAAATATACATGCAGAATATAAAAGCCCTAGCATCAACAGTTCAGAAGTTATGGTCAAGGTTAAAGTTTTTCAAAAGTAGGTCAAACTCAAAGGGCAAGGTCAAAATTGTTGATATCCTAAGGTCTTGTCACAAGAAATACACCTGTGAAATTTGAAAGCCCTAGTACTAACTATTCAAAAGTTGTGGCCAAGGTACTTAGTTACTTTATTTAATACCCAGGAGCAGAGAAGAAGATTTTCAAAGAATTAATGCATTTTCACTATATAATCAATAGAGCCCCGCCCTAACACCAGAATCCCTGACTCTGGGGCCATGAATTTCACAATTTTGAAAGAGGCACTCTTGCTCATCATAACTATGTGCTTAGTTACCTTATTTAATACCCAGGAGCAGAGAAGAAGATTTTCAAAGAAATAATGCACTTTCACTATATGATCTATATAGCGCCACCCTGGGGCCAGAACCCCTGACCCTGGGGCCATGGATTTCACAATTTTGGTAGAGGGCTCAATGCTTCTTACAATGATGCCAACAGTTTGACTGCTTGATGTCCAGGAGTAAAGAAGAAGATTTTTAAAGATTGCATTATTTTTGGTGGTTTTAGCCCCACCTCTTAGGCCCCAGGGGGGCAGGGACCATGAAATTCACATTTTTTGTTCCCCTTCACCCATAGATGCTATATGCCAAATTTGGTTGAAATTGGTTAAGCGGTTTCAGAGAAGAAGCTAAAAATGTTCAAATGTTAACGAACGACGCACGCCGACGGACGAGAACGGATAGCAATAGGTCACCTGAGTGACTCAGGTGACCTAAAAATTAGGTATATCCTAATAAACATGTATAACTTTACAGTGCTGTATATTGCTAGGTGAGGTTACACCAGACCCAGGTGCAACAGGCAAAGAGTGCCTGTGCCAGGTCCATCTTATTTCAACATATCTATTTATTAAGCTGTCAGCATACATGTATATTGCCAATAAATTATATTACATTCATCTGGTGATAAAGGAGATGATAAAAATATGACAAACTTACAGAAAATATGCAGTTGAATTTACTCTGCTCTTTCTTGTCTGCTTTCTCAGCCGCATCATGACGTAATATGTGACGTACGGCATTCCATAAAAAACTTCTTTTAGTTTCGTAAAATAAGTGTATACCCCGTAGTCATCAAAGTTCCGACTTCGACGCGGAAATAAATTTTCAAAATAAAGATTTAAAGGACAAAAATTATAGTTATTTAGATATTTCCCGATTCTGTGATGAATACGAAATGGACTGGCAGATATATCCTGGTTCTACTTGCACTTCCTGTTACAGAAAAAAAAACGAGTATACCCTCCTGTGGCTTGTTCCAGAGTTTCCTTTGGGATTTATGTGCTCTAATCCCTTGAAACGACGGTGAATATGTATGTACTGTTAATTGTTTGTCATATTTTGTGTTTAAATTGTAGATTCTTATTGTTATTCATTTTGCAACGAAAATTTTCAGAGTAAATTCGGATCTCGTTTTCGTTTCAGGTTCAACAGTTCAACGTAACATGGCCAGGTGAATCGAATGGTTCCGTTTCATCGAAGTCATAATGAAGTTATGCATTTTTTTATGCTAAGCGACATTTATTTGAAGGCTTTACTAAATTTTGAGTAAGTAATTAACATTAAAAGTGATTTTTAATTGTGTATATTGTTCTGACACATGTGCAGAGACTAGTAAACACGACTTTTACAGTGTATCACACAAAATATTTTAGGACGCAGGTCCCACAAAAGATCCAATTTTCTTGGGGATTAATCTCACAAATGTGAGGGTTATGAATGAAAAAAATTCCATGTAATAATTAAACTGTTGCATTTGATATATTCTAATTATTTTATGCAGATTTAAAAAATCCATCTTTTCAGCATTATAATGTCTGTAAAACTCATAAATCAAATTGGAATACATAACTAAAATGGACTTTTATATCTAATTTGGACAATAGGTTCCAATAACAACCTTATACAGTGTTTTCCCTTTATTTCAAAGTAAAGCATTAGAGATCAATTGTATCTGGCTTTGGGTTGATGTTTATGACAAATCTCTGTGGACCTTACAACAATTAAATTTTATTTTATTTTATTTTTTTTTTATTTCAAAGCGGATTTTTATCAATTGAAGCGATTAATTTGGCCGGTAGCTGGTTCTTAGGGAAATCACCACTTATATAGAGAGTTGTATGGTCAATATCATGTTCTGATGTCTGACATATGCCTCTATTGTGCAGTTATTAATGTACAAAACACAGGGTCTTCTGTTTTGCTCAAAACATGAAATACAAGTGCAGTTTAACATAAACAAGTTGAAAAAACATGGACCTTTCAGGTGATAACATGGAATTTATTGTATGTAATGACAGATCCTATTCAGTAATTATAGGAGTTAGCCCCTTTGACTGAAACAATTGGAATATCAGTATGGGTAGTTAATAAAAAATTTTATGATTTAATTTCTTTGGAGGAAATGCTTGTCAGGACAAAAGACTGAAAAAGACTGAAAAACTGCCTTTAAACACAGCCATCATTCATGTAAATGGATTCATAAGGAGCATCCAAACAATATGATATTAGGATCATCAGAGACTGGCAATTTTTTACCACTCACTGTGATAGATGCATCTAAATAAACATTGAAATGTTAAATTTTTTTGTTCATTGCTTTTCCTCATATGGTATTAATATTGCATAATATTCTTGTGAATATCGCACGATTTTCACACGAAAAACAGACAAAGTGGAATTTGCATGGATATCATGCGAAATTTTAGTCGCATGAAAATCGCATGAATTTCGCATGAAATTTGTGTGATAACATTCGCATGGAATTCACATGTGGGACTTTTCGCATGATTTTTGTATGATTTTCGCATAAATTTCATGCGAAAAGGCAAACGCATGAAAATCATGCGAGCCACTTTTCCCTGTGTAGTTACAGTATGCAATAGTAAATCTTATCAATAAAGACAGCTAACGTTAGATGCAATATTTTATTCAAATACTGACGGACCATTTATCACTGCAAGTTACATTTAATTAAAACTTCAGGCTGTGTTGTCAATAAGCCAGTGATCTACCTTGTTCCATTTTAGGTCTAATAATGTCCGTTTCCATTTCCATTTCCATTATGAGCTGTAATATACATAATTAAGACTGTATTTTATATTTCAGTTAATATTGCAATGCGACTCTTGTTATAGTGATAGTCAACACTCTTACTTCTGTGAATAGAGAGATGATTAGAATAAGGGATTTGTAAAACATTTGACATATTAGTAATGTTTAGAGTAAAGTCAATTATAATGAAGAGATTAAACATAATATATCGTCATTGTTGTATTTACATCATAGACATGGACAGATACTTACAATGCGTACAGCAGTAGCCACTCTGTAGTGAGTCCTGGGGCCAAGTTGAGTAGCCACTAAGGAGTGGGTACTGGGGCATAGTTTGACAATATTCTCCACGGTAACAGTGGTAGTCATTACGACATCTGCGATGGAAGTCACATGGTTGGTCTCCGCCAGGAGGAGACCAGTAAGCTAAAATTAAGAACATTTGTGCAATGAATATTAACTTATATAAGTCTTCAATTAAAATTCGATCTGCAGATTGAAGATTTGACAGAAATGATGAATCCGTGATTTATTTATTCATATATTTATTTTTTATTAAATTAACGGTTTATTCTTGTTAAAAACACTGGTTAAAGCACTGTTACTACTTTTCTGTTAAAAAGAATTCTGCATTTATGCAGATTCATGCGCTTTCAAATGAGTTCATATATTCTATCGCAATTAATTTTGGATCCTTAAAGAAAAATAAAGGTAACGAAATGATGCTACCTTTAGAGAGATCTTATTTTTAAGCATTGTTATTTAATAAGCATCGTGTTTTCACTTTGTATCAATTTGTACCACAAAGACTTCTGGGTTATAATTTAAATACTGTAAATAACCATATTTTTATTCTTTATTCGCAGGGTAAAAACATTTAAGGCAAGAGTAAATTTTCACGAATTCTGGTTTTTGTTTAACATAGTCTATCTTAATACAATTATAAGCGAGAAAGCTTTTTTGCGAGCAGACTGCAAAATAGAATTCTCACAAATAAAAACGGACTTACATCACCAGATCAAATATACATTTATGCTATAATTAACATTTTCATTCATAATAAATTATATATGTTCAGTTTAGTTTTTGGCAGATAAAAATTAGTTGCATCCGTGACTAAAGAGGTTTTTTTCCCACAGATTTGATTAAAATTCTAAAATTGATACGGAAACAAGATTAACAGTGAAAAAGAAACAGAGAGAGAGAGAGAGAGAGACAACAGAGAGAGAGAGAGAGAGAGAGAGTAAAAAGTATCAAGTAAACATACCGGTTGTCAGGGCCACCAGGCAGAGAACAGCAAATACAACGAGGAGTTTTCTCATGTTGATTAAGGAATTTGTAGATAACTAGATGGTCGAAATTGATGCCTTATATACTGTCAGAGTACCTACATCCACCAATCAATGCGTTTAAAACAATTTCCATGTTGTATAAATTTTTCTTAGAAACCTTGTGCAAAAAGATAAATGATGTCAATGTTTTTGAATGGTTTGGAAAACCAAATGATAATTATCCTTAAGGTTTTAAAAAGAAATTTCAAAAGCTTCTGACTTCATTAACCTTATTAAAGAATAGTAATAGCAATCTGCCCATCAATTAATAGATTGAATTGAAAAAGAATTTAAATATGTAGAGTTAAGGGCAACTAGGCAAGTTAAAGACTTTGCTTTCGATGCCGATGGAAACCTCGCGGCGCTGTCCTACACTACACGGTTATTAAGAATGGAAGAGGTATACAATTATTTGGACATAAGTTTTATTAGAGGATCGTTACCGATACAAATTATAATGATTTTAATTTTATTTATAAAGCACATTTGAAAACAACTCTTAATCTAACATTATTGCCCTAAGTGAATAATATAGAAAGCACAAAGAAATTCACTTTTTATAAGGATACCTACTTCGGCACCAAGAGATACATTTTACATTATCATTAAGTATTGAGTTTGTGATGGTGTATAATAAGAGCTTTGTACTATCAAATAAAACGTTAATTTTTCCATGACTTAAGTCCTTGAATAAAAGATAAATCTGTACCAATTTATGGCAATAATATGAAACAATTAAAAGAAAAGATCAAATTTGCTTTCCAGAACAATTTTTTCAAAGAAATTGGATAAAAAGATAAGATTTTTTCAAAGTTTTGTTTCTTTATGAATAAATCTAAGAAACCTTGAAAGTACAATTGCAAACATTTTTATTATTATGGTATAGCAATTATGTCTGTCCGTCTGTTTTTATATTTACATTTTCGTGTCAGACTCATAATTCTAATACTATGAGGTATGGGATCATCAAGCTTTTTCCAGCTAATGCATCTTGGGTATAAACTGTGTCAGGTTAAAAACTTAGGTCACTTGAACCTTTAATAACGCAGATATGGCCAAATATAGCAAAGCCCTTTCCGGCTCATAACTTTATTTTGCCCAAGAATTATCAAACTTGGATAGATAATGCATCTTACGTAGAAGATGTTTCATGTCCTGATTAAAGTCACTGGACCTTTGGTTAAGATGATATTGCCAAACATTGCAAAATCTTGTCCTGCTCATTACTGGAAAATCACTTGGCATAGAATTGTCCGACAGAAAATGGATCTTAGGTAGAAGGAGTGTTGTATTCTATATTAAGGACACTGTGACCTTTAATTCAGATTGATATGGTCTAATATGACAAAACCATTTCCGTTTCATAACTTGAAAAAAAAAACCAATATGTCCTAGAATTATCAAATTTAGACAGATGATACATCTTAACCAGAAGGTGTGTCAAGCCCTTCTTTACGGTCAGATTAATAAAAGAGTTTGATGTAAGAAAGTTGCCTTAATTATTTTTGTAAGATCATCTCCGATAAAACAGGTGTTATCCCTATCGCTTGGGTGTTGGGCAGAGAAATTGATGATGTGACCTCTTAATTGAATAAATAACATTTGTAAAATTAAATAGTTTTTAATTGCAAGCCTTTTGTTTTCAAAGTTATTTTAATATAAAGTTGTAAAAATTTCATTTGATATTGCATAATATTTTTTGATATCCCGACAATCAGATTGATAGGTGTCATGTCTCAACACTAAAATGATGGATGCAATTTATCGGTTTTTTCATAAGCATAATGATTTTTATTTGATTCTTAATTAGGCAGCGGCATTGTTAATCTTTTATGAACAAAACAATTATCAAAACTGCATATTGGGTTTTGTTAAATCAGAACTATCCCAAAAATCTTTGATTCCAACATAGGACACAGGGAGAAGGCTAAAAGAACCTGTGTCTGCTATCAAAGCCCATTCACTATTGTGCTTAACTATTGTAATTTTTATTGATAATTATGTCCAATATAGGTATCAGTCTTGTTTTATAATAAACAAATGTTTAAGCAAATCTTCAACAAATTCTATATATCTATCTCTTCTGCTATACTGGGTATGTCTGTGAACATTAAAATAAGGAATCAAAGATATCGACGTTGTAATAACAAGTTATCCACGTAGTGTTTAATTCTGTAGAGGAAAATAAAACAATTATGATATTAAACACGTTCATTTTAAATTACAGTTTTTGGGGCATAACTTTAAAGAAGACTGGACACAGTTGCATTGTCATTATTGTTTACAATTTTAAATTTCTTTAAAAAAAAGCTTAATAAATTGAAATTACATGAAGATCCTTAAATTTAAAGACAAAAACATTCTTCATAACATCATGTCAAAGACCTATGTTTGTAAACACGGACGCGAGCTCTCTGATATTGTTAATTGTACGTTTTACTGGGTGTTCTCATTTTGTTTCACTGTACATATCACTGAGCACGGACTGACAATACTGGTGAGTTGGTTTTGCTTTCTCACCTTTCTAATTTTTCACTAACACAACAAATTTTCCACTTGAAACTGCAAGGTTGTGTGTCATTTGAACGCGTCCAACAAAAAGACAGCATTTTGTAAATTTCAATGGTCGCTATAATGACCTTGTTAACAAATATAACTTATCATTAGGTCGTATTTTTACTGACCTGATCCATACCAATTGTTAGGCCTTTTTTTAAACACTAAATGTAATTTTACTTTAAATTTATCAAATGCAGATAAAAAAAACATAGGCACGATTCGCTCAAGTTGAAATTATGTAGAGACTGTCCTTGACAATACGTAAACGCAGTTATATCTGCATTGATATGACTCGTGCATTTTTCTATGCCTGGAATTTTTTTATATGTTCAATCATTAATGACACAAATGATGAAAACCGTTCTTAGCAAATTAGCTCCGGTTTTTAATATTTTCAATATTTTTACTTTAAGTTTAGATTCAATGTGTCGAAGTTAATTTTAGGGTAAAATAAAAGGCCAAAATTTTCCGTAATACTTCGTGAATTGTCTTCAATTCTCTTCCTAAAAATGGAAATATAAGAACTGCTTTGTCTGTTTAGCGTACTTAATGGAAAGATTCTACAATGATTTCAATTAACTCATCGAAGTAAACATTTCTTTTTTTCCGATATTTTGAATTTCACTTTCTTTTTAATGT